ACCAACCTAGAAACACAGAAACTGAGAATCGAACCTATCAATTCCTTTACCCAGATAAGCCATGGTCACGCACTCACCTCAATTTCGGAAAGGAAAAAGGGATGAATCGAAAAAGAACGCGAAGAACAGATCTCCAAATCCGAAAATCCCAAACCTTCTTCATGAAAACCAGCACCGATACACACCCCGCGAGTCTCACAATCACAATTAAGAGCTTTTAGGATCGAGAAAGCAAAGAAATCCACGATAATCCTTCGATTCTTCTCAATCCTCTCAAGAACACTCAACTCTCTGATTTCTCTCTGTTTCTGACCAAAAACCCAACACAAAAGCGGCCACACGCTTTATATACCCAAGCCCCAGGGCTCTGTGAGAGTCGAAACCCGCACAATCAAAACTTGTAGAGATTTTGTAGGGAACTGAATTTCTATGATTAAACCAACGCAAGCAATTGCAAAGGAAATTGAAAATTTGTTATATTGCTGTTTAAAAAACTTTAGAATACAAGTCTTTGTGAATTGATTTTCGGATCTCTTTCTCAAGAGATGTACAAGTGTATATATACTGATCTAAGGCGGTCTCGTTTATTCCTAATCCGTCAAGGAAATCTCCTCTTCCTCTTTTAACTTCCAAGATGACATAAGTCGGTCGCATCATCGAGGGCCTGGGTCGGTTGCGTCTTCGTGGGCCTTGTCCCTTTTCGTTTTGGTCCATCTTTGCTTAGTGACACGATAATAAACCGACATCGTGGGCCTTGCCAATCAATATGTACCAATCGACATCGGCACCATCATTTCTTGTCATCGGTACCATCGCTCCTTCCCATCGGAACCACATCGGGACATCGGAACCACATCACGACATCGGCACCATCACCCAACGATTTCGGCTCCGCATCACCCATCGACTTCGGCTCCGCGTCACCCGTCGACTTCGGCTCCGCGTCACCCGTCGACTTCGGCTCCACGTCATCCGTCGACTTCGGCTCCGCGTCATCCGTCGACTTCGGTACCGCATCACCCGTCGACTTCGGCTCTGCGTCATCCGTCGACTTCGGTACCGCATCACCCGTCGACTTCCGTTCTGCGACACCCGTCGACTTTGGCTCCCATGCTTGCCACATCGGCTCCATTTTGACCATGATTATCATACTTAGCCATTTTGTGACTGGTTGTCTCCAGGGGGAGATTCGACCCCAACAATTTGTCCCCCAGCTCGGTACTATGGAAATAGTGGCGGAGCGGTTTGTGTTAATCAAGTGATCAGCAGTCATAAAAAGCTGTTCAATTAAAATAATTTCTTGACCAATGATGACTGGGCCCCGCTAACAGTCCTTTTGCTTTTGTCTGTTGAATTTCCTCAGTGTCTTCTGGACATAACGTTACTAGTTTTTCTGATGCTTCTGCTGTTACCGGACGTTTCCCAAGAAATAGTAAATTCATCTTCTCCTATAAATACTCCA